CCCCTGTTCTATCTGCTCTGCCTGAGTCTGTATTCAATAGAATATGAAGGTCACATATATTGATCTACAATTTAAGAGAAGTAGAAGATTACCAATAAGAATTAACACCTGTTCTGAGGTCCTTCTCATCAGCTCCTCCTCCAGTCTGGTCCACACTTCATCTGCCACTTTTGACTTGAATCTGGGATCCAAGGCTGTGCCCTCCTCCAAGAACTGTCTGATGCTGCCATCCTGCAAGACAAAAACACAGGATGAGTCCCTGAATAATCCTAACGAAAACAAGTGAGAATTCAACAGGATTACACTACACACCTGGTATCTTTTTGAGAGGTCATTCCAGATAGTGTCCTTGATGGTCTTTGTGAAGGAGGAGTCCTCATCATTAACTGTGAAGTGGTGCTGGAGTTTATTTAAGATTGGCAGAATCTGACCCAAGGTTGGGCTCCTTTCAGCAGAGACGCAGTGGGTTGAAGTGTAAAGTATCTTTGTAACTTTGACAAACTGTTCTGCTTTTCTGAAATCCTCATCAGAAACTCTCTGCAGTCTGTAAAATATAATCAGATTCATTAGCTGGACTATAGTTTTATGAGCACAATGGTTCACACAAAATGGTATAAGCTAATTACAAAGTTCTTTACCTGTCCTTCTCCATTGATTTCTTAAGCCGAGGGTCCATGGAGGTGGCCTGGATGGCAGGGAACTGCTCCACGAATTGCTCCACTATGAGGAACAAGCTATTCCACCTTGTTCTCACATCAAGGATAACAGCATGTTCTGGAAGATCTAGAGTGAGAAAGAGGAAATTGGTGTGTGTGTGTGTGTGGTTATTAAAGTGGTTGATCATTTGCAGAGATGTTTTACTGCATGATTTAGCAAAGGATTTTTCTAAAATATTTAGCCAAAGAGTTTTGCACTAAGGTTGATCTATTGTGATTTCTACCTACCGAGAAGACGCTGCTTCTCTTTAAGGACAGGTTTAGCCAGGCTGGACCTTTTCAGCCACACCACCATTGCTCTGATCCTTCCTGCCCATTGTGAGACTGAGGATATAGTGTAAAGCTTCTGAGCAGCAATGTTGAGAGTGTGAGCAAAGAAGCAAATTTTTTTAATACTCATCTTTTTTACTGCTACATCCATGTTTGCTGCATTATCCACTGTCACAGCAACTACTCTGTCCTTTATATTGAATTCATCAAGAATATCTCCTATCTCTTCTGCTACAATGTCCCCTGTCTGGGATGTGTATACTGCCCTTGTATGTAGGACTTTCTCTTTCATGGAGCCCTCTCTCACATAGTGGACTGACACTGTCAGGTAGTGGTCCTGTGCAATGCTGGTCCAGCCATCAGCATTCACAGCCACATCCCTCACATCTTGTAACTCTTTCTTGATGTTTTCTTTTTCTACTGCATACCATGCAGGTATGAGGGTATTTGAGAGCATGTCTCGGCTGGGGGACTGATATCTGGGGTTTAAGGCCCTTATCATCTCCCTATAGTTGACATCATCAGAACACAAAACGTAAAAATAGCATTGTTTTATAATTTTTGCTTACTATAAAAGGTAAAAAAAAAACACATTATCTAGGTTAAGAGACTACCTACAAACCTGGCCAACAACCTTAATGGTAAAGTTACAACACCACTTACAGCTTACTTACCTCCACCATGGAGCCTCCACTGTAGAAAAAGGCAGCAACTGGAGCCTCCACTGTAGAAAAAGGCAGCAACCTTTAACAATAAACTTTGTTTATTAAACCTTTAACTTTATAAACTTTGCTCAATTAACATTCATCTTTCCTTTCTTTATTAATTTTTCCTTTTTCTGCCTGTGTAAATGGATTAACACTTGATGGTCTCCTAATTCCAGGGTCAGCAGGAGCAGAGGCTATAACATTAATATGAAGAGGGGGAAAAACATGAAAGCTAAACTGTTAATGCAGCCAAGGATAAACACATTTAAACAAGATAACTAGTTTAATGTGAGTTAAACTTGATCAGTTACTGTTAACCTTAAAGCATTTTTAGCATCGATTTAGTTAGGTATCTATAGCCATCGAAACTGTATCTATCGTTACATAGCGTAGGTCCCAAAAAATAAAATGAATCAGAATCAGAATGAGCTTTATTGCCAGGTATGTTTACACATACGAGGAATTTGTTTTCGTGACAGAAGCTTCCACAGTGTAACAGAATGACAGTGACAGAACAAAAAACACAGATAATAAAAAATAGAACAAGTAAATAAGGAATAAAAATATATAAATTGACAGTTGTATGTGCAGGTATATTACAATAGACAGTTTTTGTATGTACAGGTACTGTATATTATGTGCAAATTTGAGGTGTAGACTGAGTATGTGTGTTAGATAAATAAGTGTATGAGTGAATAAATAGTGTGTGTTCCACAGTTATTGTCAAGTGTTCATGAGATGGATTGCCTGAGGGAAGAAACTGTTCCTGTGTCTGGTCGTTCTGGTGCTCAGTGCTCTGTAGCGTTGACCAGATGGCAACAGTTCAAAGAGGGAGTGTGCTGGATGTGAGGGGTCCAGAGTGATTTTGCCAGCCCTTTTGCTCACTCTGGATGAGTACAGTTCTTGGAGAGAAGGGAGGGTTGTACCAATGATTCGCTCAGCAGTCCGGACTATCCTCTGTAGTCTTCTGAGGTCAGATTTGGTAGCTGAGCTGAACCAGACAGTTATTGAAGTGCAGAGGATGGATTCAATGATGGCGGAGTAGAACTGTTTTAGCAGCTCCTGTGGCAGGTTGAACTTCCTCAGCTGGCGAAGGAAGTACAGCCTCTGCTGGGCCTTTTTAACAATGGAGTCTATGTGAGTGTCCCACTTCAGGTCCTGAGAGATTGTGGTGCCCAGGAACCTGAATGACTCCACTGCAGTCACAGTGCTGTCCATGATGGTGAGTGGGGGGAGAGCAGGGAGGTTTCTCCTTAAGTCCACGGTCATCTCCACAGTTTTGAGCGTGTTGAGCTCCAGGTTGTTGAGACTGCACCAGACAGCCAGCTCTTTAACCTCCTGACTGTAAGCAGACTCGTCACCGTCCTAAATGAGGCCAATGAGTGTGGTGTCGTCTGCAAACTTCAGGAGCTTGACAGAGGGGTCTTTAGAGGTGCAGTCGTTGGTGTAGGACTAAGTCACCGCGCACAAATGTTAACTTAAATAGTAACGTACACAAGCATGTAGCACTACAAGTTAGCCGAATTTGAATGTTTGTTTACCTGTCGGAGCCTCAGTCATACCGACGCCATCTTCATCAGTAGTTTTGGAGAAAGACTCTTGTGGTGGGCATGTTGAAGGAGGCTCTGTGGCAGGAAAATGCTGAGAGGATGACTGCACCGGCTCGGTCCTCTTGCAGTCGAATACGGAGCAACTTTCTGCTCTTATGTTTATTCCGTGCACGATCAAGTGCTTCATCATATTTGATGTGTTGCCCGTCTTGGCAGCAATTATCTTATTGCAAATATTGCATCGCACGCTATTGTCGTCGAGCTTGACGAAATGTAGCCACACTTTTGATCTTTTAAACATCTTTTAAATCTATGGGGGTTGGGACGCTACACTACAGCCTCACGTGTGAGAGACGCGTCTCTGAGCGAGTGGGCGTAACCGGCGTAAACTATTGATTTTCCCTGATGCCACGCCCCAGCCAATCACCAGCATTTGATTTGTGCAACATCTTTTGTTGGTCAACATTAATGACACGGATAGATACTTAATTAGGAATGCTTTCCCTTTAAGACGGAAGGCATGCATGTAATACTGATACACGTTCAGTTTTCACCCACCTTATGTTCACTTAATCCATAACTGACAGTATTTACGTGAGATACTCTGCACGATAGACATTTGGACTGCTGTGTGTGTATTTGAGCACTGAGAACTAATTGTGCGCTGTATATGAAAACTGAAGAAGTGGAGCGTGCACGAGAGAAAGCACCGCTATCAGCGTGATTCCGCCTATCCCGCCTTCACTAACTTTAAGTTAATCGACAACGAATTGTGACTTCTGGGAAAAACGGACATTATAGTCCCGTCTCGTCTTGTTAACGAAGACGCAGCATAAATCATAGTTTTTATCATCAGATATTAGTTTTAGCTCGTCTCATCTTAGTCACAGAAAAAATGTTCGTTTATACAGACCGGTTTCCCTTCTTCATTTCATTGCAAAAACACTTGAACTAGCTGTGTTCAACCAAGTCTCTACCTTTCTCACACAGAACAATCGCCTCGACAGCAACCAGTCTGGTTTCAGAAGTGGACTGTACTGCATTAAGCTAACTGAGACTTGTTATGGCACTTGCATATCATTGCTCTTTTGTTGATTTTGATTGCTTCCATTGTCCTCATTTGTAAGTCGCTTTGGATAAAAGTGTCTGCTAAATGTCTAAATGTAAATGTACATATTAAATCCATATTTTGAGAAAATGAAAGCATTTTTTGACCTTGCATGCATGTAAACCTATTGTAGGAGACTCCCAAAACAATATTAGTAACCCTAAAAATGGCATAATAGGGGCACTTTAATTAATCAGCATTAATTAATAATGATTACCAAGGCTTCTCAACTCTGGCCCTCGAGGTCCACTTTCCTGCAGAGTTTAGCTCCAACCTTGATCAAACTCACTGCCTGTAATGCCGAGTTCACAGTGCACAATTTTCAAACTCGTCGGATCGCCGTTGTTTTCACACTGCGTGACTATCTGGGGTAGCATTCAGTTGCTGCTGTGTTCACATTGCACGATGGATCGGAGACAGGGGGTTTCACACTGCATGACTTCACAATAGGAAGAATCGCCGACAGCTCTGTCTGGTCCACAAACTACGTTTCACAACAAAACACACGCGAGAAGTGATAAGGAAAAAATGTTGTGGTCAGTATAATCAAAAGCAGTCTATGGGCAAGCCAATAAAATTTAAGGGAAGACACACATCAACTGATATGGGGTACAACATTTATGTCTAGATAGATAGATAGATAGATAGATAGATAGATTTCCTATGTGAAAGTAACCTTTAGTAAAATCAGTCTGAATTCTTGTATCTATTACTAATGTCTCTATTCTATTGTACTCCGTTTTAAGTCTGTTGCACAGAGACAGATCAAACCCATCAGAGGCAAGCTGTGTGTCCATGAAGAGCGACCAGTCTATGGGCAAGCCAATAAAATTTAAGGGAAGACAAGCATCAACTGATCTGAGGTGCAGCATTTCTGTCTAAATAGATAGATAGATACTTAGATTTTTGTATCTATTACTAATATATCTACTCTATACAACATTTTTGTCTTAATCTGCAGATAGATAAATAGATAGATAGATAGATAGATTTCCTATGTGAAAGTAACCTTTAGTAAATTCAATCTGAATTCTTGTATCTATTGCTAATGTGAGTGAGTGAGTGACGTGACATGTGGCCAAATATGGTGACCCATACTTGGAATTAGTGCTCTGCATTTAACCCATCCAAAGTGCACACACACAGCAGTGAACACACACACTCCGGGTGTGAACACACACCCGGAGCAGTGGGCAGCCATTTATGCTGCGGCGCCCGGGGAGCAGTTGGGGGTTCGGTGCCTTGCTCAAGGGCACCTCAGTCATGGTATTGAAGGTGGAAGAGAGCGCTGTACATTCACTCCCCCCACCTACAATTCCTGCCGGACCGGAGACTCGAACCCGCAACCTTTGGGTTACGAGTCCGAATCTCTAACCATTAGGCCACGACTTCTAATGTCTTTATTCTATTGTACTCTGTTTTAAGTCTGTTGCACAGAGACAGATCAAACCCATCAGAGGCAAGCTGTGTGTCCATGAAGAGCGACCAGTGTATTGGCAAGCCGATAAAATGTAAGGGAAGACACACATCAACTGATCTGAGGTACATTTATGTTTAATTAGACAGACAGACAGACAGATAGATGGACAGATAGATAGATCTTTAATTAAATGTTGTAATCTGTTATGTGAATCTTTATTTATTTATTTAATTTTATTTATTTAATGGCTCTCTACTGGTACAAAGCACATTCAAATCAAATCTGATGAAGAAGTTTCAGTGTCTGCATGAAGGAACAGCAAAACAGGGAAACCCAACATTCCTGAATGAGATCTACACAGAGCTCTACATCACAGAGAGTAAAAGTGGAGAGATCAATAAACAACATGAGGTGAGACAGATTGAGACACAATCCAGGAGAGCAGCAACAGAGGACACACCAATCAAATGCAATGACATCTTTAGACCTTTACCTGGACAAGACAAACCCATCAGAACTGTGCTGACAAAGGGAGTCGCTGGCATTGGAAAAACAGTCTCTGTGCAGAAGTTTATTGTGGACTGGAGTGAAGGGAAAGCAAATCAGGACATCCAGCTCATATTTCCACTTCCTTTCAGAGAGCTCAACTTGATGAAGGACAAAAAACTCAGTCTTTCAGATCTACTTCAGGTTTTGTTTCCTGAAACAAGAGAAATATCCAGTGATGCATATAAAGTTTTCTTCATCTTTGATGGTCTGGATGAGTGTCGTCTGTCTCTGGATTTTCAGAGCAATGTGAGGTTGTGTGATTTAAGTAAATCTGCCACAGTGGATGTGCTACTGACGAACCTCATTGCGGGAAATCTGCTGCCCTCTGCTCTCATCTGGATCACCTCCAGACCAGCAGCAGCTGATCTCATCCCCTCTGAGTGTGTCCATCGAGTGACAGAGGTACGAGGCTTTAATGACCCAAAGAAGGAGGAATACTTCAGAAAGAGAATCAGTGATCAGAGTCTGGCCAACAGAATCATCTCACACCTGAAGTCATCAAGGAGCCTCCACATCATGTGCCACATCCCAGTGTTCTGCTGGATTTCAGCCACTGTTCTAGAGGGAATGTTGGTGAAATCATGGAAAGGAGAGATCCCTAAGACTGTTACTCAAATGTACACATACTTCCCGATCCTTCAGACAAACATTAAACATGAGAAGGACTATGAGAAGAAAGTGAAAGATGAATACATGATCCTCAATCTGGGGAAACTGGCTTTTCAGCAGCTTGTGAAAGGCAACCTGATATTCTATGACGAAGACCTGAGCGAGTGTGGCATTGATGTGACAGAAGCATCTGTATACTCAGGATTGTGCACACAGATCTTCAGAGAGGAATTTGGCTTGTATCAGGGGAAGGTCTTCTGCTTTGTTCATCTGAGCATTCAGGAACATCTAGCAGCATTATATGCGCACCTCTCCTTTACAGAATACATAAATGTGTTCGACCAAGCCACAGAACAAAATACCTTCTCTAAGGTCTTAAACTGGATGAAAAATAATTCATTATCTGGCCTACATCAGACAGCTGTGGCTGAAGCTTTACAGAGTAAGAATGGACATCTGGACCTTTTCCTGCGTTTTCTTCTGGGTCTCTCAGTGGAGTCTAATCAGACTCTCTTACAAGAACTAATAACACAGACAGGAAGCTGCTCCTACAATAAAAAGGAAACAGTTGAATACATCAAACAGAAGATCAGGGAGAATCCCTCTCCAGAGAGATGTATCAATCTGTTCCACTGTCTGAATGAACTGGGCGATGATTCACTAATGCAGGAGATCCAGGATTATCTGAGATCTGGAAAAATAAATCAAATCAAACTCTCTTCTTCACAGTGGTCAGCTCTGGTTTTTGTGTTGCTGACATCAGAGCAGAAGATGGAAAAGTTTGATCTAAAAAATTTTATGGGAGCACAAAATACAGCAGATGAAGTTCTTCAGAAACTGCTGCCTGTGATTCAAGAATCCAGATCAGCTCAGTAAGTAAAACTGTCATCAATCACTACAATATTAAAACATTACCTATATCAGACAATCACAAGTCTGCGTTAAATACAGGTGTAAGCGGGGTCTAAAACATTGTGATCGGCTTACTGAAACCACATATGGAGGTAGTCAGAAAAACATTACTATTGAAATTGCAACAGCCCTCGTCATCCTTTTCATTAGTTTCCTTTTCCATTCGCTCATAACATGGGCTGCATCTAAAAAATGAAAATTTTAGAAATTTAGAAAACACTTTTTATACAAGCAAATACATTTAAAATCCAGTGTGCCATCTGATGTAAAGAAATTAAGAAAATTGTATGTGTATCCATGGTGTATCCACTACCCAACCAGGAAAGTTTTCTATACAGAAATATATACTGCAAGATTAGGAACAGTTGACTCTAGAAAAGTGGATTCAAACAGTATTCGTTACGTGCTTTACTGTCTATATGAATTATTTGTATTTTGCAAAGTTTTCACATTGTTTTCTTTAACTGCACCTGGTGTCAGTTCATCACTCACATTCATTCATCTTTACAGATTGTGTAAGTGTGGTGTCACAGATAAAGGTTGTGCTGTACTGGCTACAGCTCTAAGCTCAAACCCCTCACACCTGAGAGATCTGAATCTGTCTGGAAATAAGCTACAAGATGCAGGAGTGAAGCTGATCTCAGATGGACTGATGGATCCTCACTGTAACCTGGAAACACTGCAGTAAGATTGTATAAAAGTATCATCCTTATTGCCCACCTACTGTGATTAATGAATAATAAAACACATTTAAAAGAAAAAAATGTGAAAAGTCTAAAAAGTATCCTGTCAGATAACTAAAGATGATGCTGTTTTGATCTTAATTAGGTGCTTTACAAGGTGTCTGACACAATTTACGTACAATCTTTGATGATAATATAAACATAATTGGATAATGCATGAAAATTATATTTATTATGCTCATATTGAAATGAACACTATCAAGCACCCATTTAGAAAAAAAAGAGACTACTTAATGAAATTAGGTCCAGTTTAAAGTGCAAGTCTCTCTTTTTGATTGTGAAATTCCTGCTGATCTGAGTTGTATATCCTGAAATAAGAGACTGACAAGTGTCAACTGTTCTCTAAAGGTTGAGTGATTGTGGTGTCACAGATGAAGGTTGTGCTGCTCTGGCTTCAGCTCTAAGATCAAACCCCTCACACTTGAGCTATTTGGACTTAACTGGAAATAAACTAAAAGATCTAGGAATTAATCTGATCTCTTCTGTACTTGATGACCCTCACTGTAAAATGAAAACACTGCGGTAAGATATATATGTATATAAATGTGTCAGCAACCTCTATTGTGAATGATGAAATTATCACAAAATAAAACAAAAACTGAAAGTGAAGAATTTCATTGTTCTTTACAGGTTGATTGATTGTGGTGCCACAGATAAAGGCTGTGCTGTTCTGGCTTCAGCTCTGAGATCAAACCCCTCACACCTGAGAGAACTGAATATGTCTGGAAATAAACTAGGACCATCAGGAGTGAAATTGCTCTCTAATGGACTGGAGGACCCTCACTGTAATCTGGAGATACTGTGGTAAATCATCTCTCTAAGAGTCATACACATTGTTACTTAGTAAGAAATATTCACTAAGAGATTATATCTCTGACAAGGATGTAGGAGGCAATCTGTAGTACAAAATATGCGCCACACACACAAGAGAGAGAGAGTCTTGTTTTTTCTTAGAGATGTTGTTAAGGTGATAATATAATGTTCCACAAACGTGTGGTTCGGGAGTTTGCAGTCAAGTGTGGTTCCAGACATGATTATTGGCTTTCAAAGACAAGGAGTCTATAGCTGAATAGCATTTCTGTCTGTAAAAGCATACTATATGAATAACATATCTCTGTGTTATAGCATATATCTGTTTTATTTGAAAAACAGAGTTGAAAATAGATATGTATATGTATATATATATATATAGAGAGAGAGAGAGAGAGAGAGAGAGATCCAATAAATACGACAGATAGTGAACCAGGACCCTGCTTCCAATTGGAAACTGATTGTGCATTATCTGGATTATCTAAAATATAAAACTAGCACAGCTATGTAGAAAATCTGTTGCCTTTGTCAACGGTCAATTGAAAAATGCATTTATATACATTAGGGGTGTGACGAGACACTTATCCCACGAGATGAGACACGAGACTGGGTTCACGAGAACGAGACGAGATTTTTAGACTTTTTTAAAGAAATCCTCAATGATGAAATATATAGGGAAAAATAGTATTTTATTCTTATTAATTAAAATCATGAAACTTCAATTTATTGAATCAATTTATTAAAAGTTTAACAAAAATTACATGTTTAGGGCCCTATGAAATGTTTTATTTTTTCTCACCATATTATTTGTATTTTTTATTGTTACCAAATTCTGTGTTTTAGCATGTCTAATTATTTGAATGCATAAAACAACTTAATTTATGAATTTTTTTCTTAAAGTAGCCGTATGAATTTTTTTTCCCCTCAGAAATTCTGTATTGTATACTTAAATTTTTTCTGGTTATCAAATGAAGGCATAAAATATTAATTTAATTTATCATTTATCTTTTAATTATTGAAAATTAAGCAAACAAGATTTTTTTGGCAAACACAGGGTATTTACTATTAAAATTAAAACATGGAAGAAATGTTTTGTGTTATTATTCCTTAAAAAATAATGTTTGTTTCATTTTAGTAGTAGTAGTAGTAGTAGTAGGCTATGTACATTCTACTGAAAAATAGATATAGACACAATGTCTTTAAATCAAACCGGACTTTTATTTTGACGGGTTGCCGTGAATACCTTTACAGTTCTGTGTATGAGATATGACGCTAGTTTTACTCAAATCA